AATAATGAATACTTTGTTTATATATTCTTATATTATATACTGTATAGTATTTTTGAAGACTGTTGTGCTTTATATCAAAATAGTATCTGATTTTTGTATTCAAGGAGTAATTTCTTTTACAAAATTGCTTCTGAAAATTTGAAATAATTTTAAATTTAAATCTAATTTTAAAGCTTTTACTTTACATCAAATCATGAAATTTATATGAATTTTAGTAAAAATTGGATTAGAAGTGAAGTTTCATTTTTATGTTAAATGTATGCATAAAATTAGATTTTTATTGAAAGGGGCATAATATGAGCGTTCAGTTCGTCTGCAACCGATTATATGAATATATTTTACGCCAGAATTGACTGAACTATCTATAAATTAACTCAATTTTGTCGGTATTACACTCTCATATCACTCCTACTAATAATCACACAAAAAACAGACTATGATACGGCTAATAATTAAGCCTAGCTGCAGGATTACTATTTGCAAATTCATGCTTAATTTTAAATGCATGTATATGTGTGAATATAAATACACATAGGTGATAATAAATGTGAAAAAAAGTTTTAAAAAAGTGACGCGACGGTGACTCGAACCCAGGGGCTTTAGAATTAGTACCCAACGCTCTACCAACTGAGCTATGTTGACAACTTTAAGCATAAGTGTGTGAATAGTTTTAGGCATGTGCAACATTCACGCATTTTGAAGGATTACATTTATGCATTTTTCTGATGAAGGATTATTACTTTACATATATTATTACAGTGTATTATTAAATCATTCAAAATATTGTTGATCTTCTTTGGTGTTCATTGAATTGAAAATAGATTTTGTGAAGAAATTTTATAATTTGTTTTAAATTATTTAATGAGATATAGAGATGTAGTTTCCACTGAAATAATCATCGATTTTCTATTCAAATAGTTGTGAAGAAAACATTTTTATACGACTAAACAAAAGTGTATTATAAATAAATAAATGAAAGGATAACTTAAACGGAAAATTTTAATAATCTTTTTGTGACGTTTGAGAGAAACAAAAACAATAATTATTTTATTGAAATTGTATTATTCAGTAATGTTTTTGACATATTTTACAATTAGTTTTCTGTTGTGTTATTCTCAGAAATTTAATATTCATTACACGTTATGCTATCATATTATCATAACATGTAAACTGATAATACAATTAATGTTTGTCCCAACAATTCATTAGCGATAACAAGATTTAGTGCATAATTATATGTTATTGTGTTTCACATATTTTCATCTCATTATAAATTTAGGTGACATTTTCGGTGCTATTCCTTAAAATATAATCACAACTAAATTTTGTGTTACATTGAAAATTAATGAAAACTAATACTCATTTGCATAAAAAACATATAAAATAGGACTCAAAGATCGATACATATCGCAAGATGTGGTCATTTATGGAAAAGAATCCGTCAGTATTTGTATCGGAATATTCTGAGGGAATGAAACGTGTATTGGAGGGCGACTATGCCTTCCTCATGGAATCGGTGAGACTTTTGTGTTTTTTTTATTTACAAAATAAATCACACATTTTATAATCAATTGTCATAATTTTGATGTGTATTTCCAGACAATGTTGGACTATATGGTGCAGAGAGACTGCAATTTGACTCAAATCGGAGGACTTCTCGACAATAAAGGCTACGGAATCGCGACGCCTATGGGTATGTGTGCTATCATTCATATTTGTTTCCTATATATAAAAGGCATACAAACTATGCATACAGTGATATAAGTCAATTTGGAGGATAGCATCACGCGTACAGTTATAAGCATGTCATATGAAAGATGAGAATTTAATATCAATGATAAGTTGATATTAAAATTTAGATCCAAATTATTATTTTGATGTGAAATTGATTTATTAGATAATTCGATGGATATATAAATACTATGTAATTTATGGTTGATTGTTGACATGAATAATACAGATGTAAACAAATATTAATTTAATAACAATTAACTATTGTATAATATAATTATATACAGTTATATAGTTTGTTGTATAGTAGGTATAATAGTATTCGGTGTATTTATATTATACATAATACAGATGCCCCAAATAACCTTATTCTTTATCTAAATAATTGTAAATAATTATAATATAATTAAGATAATTCATATTTTAAATATTTCAATTGATTAATCGCATTAATAATACTCTTATTACTTTCATAAGTGTCTAATAGATAAATGTATTGTGCGATCATTGAAATGAAAAATAAGTAAAAATTTAATTTCAATAATAGCAGCGAAAATGAGTTCTCTTTGTGTATATAAAATATTCCGTGAAATTGGGTTTAAATAAGAATATTCTGAGAAAACATCAAATGTATGCCACAAATAGTAGTCACAGTTATAGACATTTTCTGTGAACACAAAACATTAAGATTTAACGCATTGATAGTAGATTTAACGTATCATTTATTTTATATATCGCTCTCTCTCTCTCTCTCTCTCTCTCTCTCTCTCTCTCTCTCTCTCTCTCTCTCTCTCTC